GTATTTTACAAAATACTAGTCTACTAAAACACAGCCAAGACAGACATTTGAAAAGGTCAATTTTATATTATTGGATATGGTAACATGAGAGCATGTGTGCTGCATCATTGTAACTTCTGTTTTGTTAGCCAGGCATGGCTGAAAGGTGAATATCATAAAAATAATAAATATATATAAATGTATAACGTTATGAGATTTTGTGTTTTGCATGTTATAATTTGTTGTTATTCTTGAATGAAAGAGGCATAACTTGTATTTGTTTCCTAATTTTTATTGTGGTTACAAGATCGGTCAAATCTACCAAATCCATACAGAGATTCGTTAGTGAAAATAACAGATAAAAATATAAAGTTTTTCTTAAGAAATGTTTAATAACTATCTGGATGTTATAAGGATTTTGCATGTGAAACTTGAAAATTTTCTGATGCATAAAAGTATTTTTAATCTTACAATGAAAATTACTTTGTATGTTGGATATGCAACATGTGAAAAGAAAAAATAGGGATGAGAAAACAAACTTTAAAACCTAATAAAAAAAATTTATATTTTGTGTATGAGAGAATTGTAATGTTTACTGATAATCTGCTAAATTTTGTTAGTATATGCTTACTAATTTAAAAGTTATAACATGAAAACTATAACAAGCACAAAGTGGTTATGAGATCGGTCCCAGGGACTGAGCCTGTGCTGAAAGAGTTAATGAACTGATTCCACTGAGATTGGCATGGTATGTATATAAAATTAATATTGCTGGGGTCACCATATTTTTATAAGGCAGTTGAGAATCAATTTTTCTTCTCCAAGGTTTAAGTCATGAAGAACCTGAGGAAGTGATCCAAAAACAGGCAGTAAATGAGTGTGCAGGTCTTGTGAATAATATACTCTTAAAGTTGAGGGAGCAGAAAATAATCTCACTGGCAATATATCTAACACAGCCGACTGTATGGTCAATTAAAATATACAATTTATTATGTATCCAGATTCATTGAATTGTAAATTAAGAATGGGTTCTGATGTGTCTCATTGTCTCAATTATCTGTGCATGTTTAATTTGGGGTTTGGCTATCTTTTAAAAAACTTGAATATTTTTAACACATGCTTTCTAAAAATTGGCATTTTCAACCATAACATCTTATTTTTTAAATGCTGTATCAAAATTCTATTTCAGATTAAGTTAACATTTGAACAGTAATTTGTCACCTACATTGCCTAATGTCTTAACACCCGAACACTATGCCCACGTCTAATGGTATGTGGATACTGGATATCTCAAAGCTCTACCTTAAGGTCATGCATTTTTGAACATTTAGAAACAATAAAATACTTATTCAAATAACATACTAGAATAGTGTCAATTTATTTTCCAAAACATAGTATTTTTTACATGAAGAAAGACTTCCACTATGATAATACAGTATTTTGGATTAATTGGTGTCGATGATATAGTATTAAAGTAACCTAATTATGTCAAAGTTGAAATAACATTAGTGTATATTCTGTAATATAAGTTTTAACTATTATAGCTTCATTTCCTAGTGTTTAAAATGCAATAGAGAATAAAAAATATGACAACTCAGGGTCCAATCAGATAACATTAGTTTTATCATGTTGATAGATAGCACTGTACAACTTATGCTTAATTACCATCTGGGACCATGTCCTAATGAAAAGTTGATTCACTCCTTGTTACCAAACTCCTATTACTTTTGAGTATATACATTCTAGGTTTTTTTTTTAAAGATGCATGGAACATTGGGACATTTTTTCATGTTACATTACCTAAAAACTTTAAAATTTTAACCAGAAAGTTTTGTTACATCTGCATTTTAGAAATGAAGTGCTATATATTGTTTTATTAAAATTTCTTGCCCATACAC